CTGAACGAATACACCATCGAATTTCATCATTGACATTTCGCGTGACTATCACCGCTTCATTCGCGTAGCGAAGATGATTAAAAGTCGATACCTCCGGGTATGATTTTTTTCCATTCTCTCATTGCTATACGATTTCGCGATACAGCAATAAAAGCGTGATTGAATGTCATAAAATAGCTTTGCACCATGTTAATATTTATATTACTTCACGTGCGTTTACATTATTTGAAAGATGATAGATTTTATGGAATTCGGGGAAATTTACATTCGCTACACAAACTGTTGCGTTATTTCGATTAATTAAAATCATTTTATACATCTTTCGATTTAAATATTTTCAATTTATTATTATTATCATCAATATCTTAATTATTTCTTGCTATTTGTTTTTAGCTAAATTATGTATCTCCGTTGTGCATAAAGCATTATCGAATTAAACTACACAATACCTACGTTATATTAACCACATTATATTAACGCACTGCGTAGTACATGGGTGCTTCCCGACGAAACAACAGAATCAAAAAGTGATTCAGTGTGCATTCAATGAGAACTTGTATGAAGAAATGAATGGATCTTTCGTCGCTGTAACGAAGTTAATATATGTCTTCGCCGTGCTTGGAAAGCAAAAGGAATCTTTCTCTATAATAAGATGAATAAGACAACGGCTTTGTTAACGAAGAATCTTTTGAAGTTTCTGCCACTGTGCAAATATGAAGTAAAGTAAATATGTAACAAAAGAACTTCACAATATCTCAGCAAGTGCCATTGCAAAAAATAAAAATGTGGATAATACAGTTACAAAAAAAGAAAGACACGTCGTGTGTGTTTCGCTCAATTTAAGTAATTTCTTTATCCTATTTAAGCTACAGCTACTTTTGTGAGGTTACACTGAAGAAAATCGACACGTTAATGAGTAGCTGAATCTTTAACAGCACGTTTTGTAAGTCAGTAGCTTTCTAGGCATTATTCTCATCTAAGAGCTATGCTTGACGATCAATGCACTATCGTGTGACACCCTATATATATTTACTGCCTAAGGCCACACAATGCGTGGGTGGGCGTTTTGCGACGAGGACCAGATAACGTCAGCATCTCTGTGCAAACGCAGGATAGTCACAGAATGGAACGCCCTGTACAAATTCTTTGCTTAAAAAAAATACTTAGCATGAGTCAGGCTCCACTATGGCGAACGGAAAGGATGCTGCGCGAATATTTCGACACACGTCTATTTATACATGCATGCTATAGTCATATGCAGCTGCCTCCAAATTTCACTCTTATCATTATTATTAAATTAATTAATTTTAACCTTTGAGAGATACTTTATTAAAACTGGATTCTTATAAAATTTAATTTATTCATTCTTAAAAACTTGTGTTTGGTAATAATAATATAAAAATTATTAAATCAAAAGTTAAGTTAAATCAAGAGTACTATTTATCTAAAGTACTCGAAAAAAGCGTAAGTAAGAAATTAAAATTATAACATTTTAGTTATCTAATCTTGCTACTCACTTCCTCATAATTATATACAATAACTGAGCATAATTACTTGCCTCATGTAAAATGATTGCAGGCATCGCCGAGCTTATCGATATCTAACGGTAAACATCAAACTACGATAAGAGCGACAAAGGCACACCATATATGCTAGCTTGATTTAATTAGATTAGATTTTAATGAAAGAGCGTCTGGCACGGGAACTGATACAACGAAACGACTACGTTTATTCTCTGAAACGCTCTTATGACATCTTCGTAAAATTTCTTCTCAATACAATCTCACCTTTAAGAACAAAGAAAAAACTAAGTAAAAGACAAAGAATGGTAGGTGCCAGCGATCGCATAAAAACCAAATAATTACTCGTACTAACAATAAAAATTCCTAGCAAATAAAATCATTTTTTATACTACAATACAATAGCAAGAAAAATAAAATACAATTCGTCGATTTATTATGATACAATGTAATATTGCAATGTAAATAAAGCAATTTCATGATAAATTAAAATAATAAATCAATCTCTAACAAACCCTATCATTCCAAAATCTAGAATTAAAAGTTTAGGATAATTAATTACATTTTTAAAAATGTAATTAAAAATTTTTCCAAGAAAGCATTTCAAGAAATAAAAGGGTAAAGAAAGTAGTATAATAAAAATAATACTATAGTAATACTTTTAAAATAAATATAATAAAGAAATGGTAACACGCTTAAAGTTGAATTTATTTACTCACAATTAATACATATATGGTTTTCTATTGTTTTACGAAAAAATGTATGTAAAATTTAAATCGTTATTTCTCAGAAACTTTCATAAAATAATTCGGCTTTCGCGATAATTCGTCGAACTTCCGGTATATCGTTTGAAATCTCTTTATACATTGCAAAAAATAAAGAAAATGCGAGAAGTTAGAAATATATTGTATGCTTATGTGAACAGCGAAAAGTGCCCTAAAAATCCCCTATCGATTTATCTTAAATTAAAAAATATAAAAAACGGTAAAAATTCGACGATTACGAAATAAGGTTATAAAGGTATAAATTCGATTTATACCTTCATAACAACTGTAACAGAACATTTCAACAAGATAAATCATGTGTATTGACTTACGTAAAATATTTGATATTAAAATAAAATAAAAATTGAGAGTCAAAAAAGAGTGTATGCTTAAATCACTCCTGTTTAACTTGTAAAATAAAATAAAATTGAACAGACTCACATAAATAGCAGATAATTTGCCTGATTCAAGAAACTGTCATTGTGTCTATATGCGAAGTAATCTCCAGTTTGCTTTCGTTCGCATTTAGAATGCGAACGACGAACAAAAGTACATAGTAAAACACAGCTAAACGGCTTATTGTTCTTGAGAAGGAACAATGATGTGTGGGCAAATCACTGGCAAAATTTGCTGGATAACAATGGATCGACAAATTGAAGGGAGGCTTACCGGAAAAAAAAAATCGATTTGCGCAAATCCATCTCGTACAGCAAATGAAATACTGCTATTCTCAAAATTAAATCTATCTTCTCGTTAGCATTTAGAATGCATTTTTAATTGTACGTTTCCAAGTTTGTTATGTTATCAGTAATACATCAAGTATATTTATAGTGGAAGAAAGTATCATAAAATTGAATAAAACTTGTATTATCGCTATATTTTTTTATATGCTAAATGATATTGACAATTGACTTCCTGCTTACTTAAAATTAATCAAGCAAACAATATCTACTTAAATTAAATCTCTGCAATCAAATAAAATAATTATGGTATTAATTACAAAGCTCGTGGATTAATGAAGTTCACATGATAAGCCGATTATATAGTATTAGTATCTAATAATCTTAATGACGGAAGTTTAGAGCTTAAATGTCATCTTTTTTGAGATACAACATTCTATACGTTTTAATATTCAATTTGAATAAATGATATAAAATACACGAATAACCAGTGTTAGCTCAAATTGGCATTTTATTTATTATTTTTTAGATTTTTCTTTAGAACCTATTGATTATCTTGTTTATAACATTCTATATCACATAAAAAAATAAAGATGAATAATAGAATATTCAAAATATTATTTATAATTATTAACTGAATTAAATTTGCGCGATTAAAATATAAAAATAATTTTTGTAGATATTATTTCCAACATAAATAAATAAATTATCTGTTCCTTCTAGTAAACGTAGTTTTCGTTTCAGATTTAAGTTTGAATCTTGGATTTTAATTTAGATTAGCTCTACCCTTTCTTTCAGTTTCTCGCAAATCAAATCGTGATGTTTATTAAACGTGACAAATGAACACTAATCCTGGCGAAAGTGCAAGGCTAAGTTTAGGTCTCCTATGCGCGACGCGGTTGTGCCGTTTACGCTTTCTGCCCAGCAAGGATGCCATTGCTGCACTACGTAATCAAGGTCGTCTATCGTGATGGGATCGCGCGATTTAAATTCCTATCATTTACAAGCGTGCAGGTGGTCCCCGGTGTTTACGCGGTCATGTCCTTATTAACACGTCTTGTTATGCAAACACAACGACATATCCAGCATTGCAGTCATCGCATGTACGTAGAGAGAAAGAGAAAGAAAGAAAGAGAGCAATAACTTTCCTTATTGCTTATCTACATATTGGATCAGATAAAAAGTAAAAAAATAAAAAAAAGTAAAAGGATAGAACCACGTTTAGTTAATACATCTTCAAAGAACGGAATCGAGGATTTCCCTCGCGTACGATATTACTTCGAGATTCAAACGGGAATACAATCGATACAATGGGTTCGCATGGTTCTCAATGTACTCGAGTGTGTGAAATTCTCCATACTCTAAAAAATACCGGTGTGAATTTAATATCATGCGGTATTTATATAATTCTCATCATTGATGTTAATATTAATATCAATATCACAGAGAATTATATATACATATATAGAAACCGTATGGTATTAAATTTACACTGATATTTTTGAGAATGCATACATCAACATACGTTTCATTCGTATTAACATTAAATCGAGTGGTCATTATTGATCATGTTTCTATTTTTCAAATAGATTAATATAATATTTCTTATGAAAATTCTGTGTATATGCGTGTGTGTGTGTGCGTGTGCGTGTGCGTGTGGTGCGTGTGTGTATGTGTGTGTGTATGTGTGTGCGTGTGTGTGTGTGTGTGTGTGTGTGTGTTTGTGAAATTGTTTTTACTTATCAATAATTATGTCTTTTATACTGAAATCCTTTTTTTATTCATAATAATTCATAATTCTTGATTCTTTTAGTAAATAAGAAACATCGAAACTTCTACCAAATGAGAAAAATTTTTTATTAAAAATAAACAAATTAGAAGATTCTGATCAAAATTTTGGTTTTAACTTATAATAAATTATACAGAATTATAATAGATTCAACAGAAAATTCTAATTTATCTATTTTCAATCAGAATTCCAATTAATTAGACTCTTTTTCTAGTATAATGTTAAAAAAAACGAGTATTGGATTTACCTCTGCCACATACACGAATATTTCCCTCGTAAGTTCGAAGAAGCAACTTTCGTCACCGAAGTTCACGTCTGCATCGACAATCACCGGTTGATTGTCGCGCTGGATCAAACTGGTCGAACCACAATTGCAGTACCGTTTTATCGAAGTAATCCAGGACTTAACTCATCCTTTGTCGCGACCGAAACACCCGCGTCGATCGTTAATAAATGTATTTTGTCTCACACGTTCACGCATACAAATAGCGAAAAAACGCAGCAATTCACGAGCGCAATCTGATCCTCGCGACGCGCGAAATATAAACGAAGATAAGTCACTGACGTCACATACTGTTGCTGACAGCGAATAAACACGCATTTAAAAATCTCGATATCGCATTTCGGACGTCATCATTGTCGATCGATTGCTGATCGTTTAAGATCGGCTCTTGAATCTCGACCGGATCTCTTTTTCCGTTTTTCTTTTAATTATGACAAACAGATCGACCGCGTAAAATCGTCTATACCCAAACATCCAGTCAGCCGCGGTCGACAGTCGGCGTACACTGAGAAGGCCGCGGCAAGCCACGCGACTCCGACGCGAAAGCGAGGCCGCGCAAGATGGCCGCCAACGAGCGCGCGCTCTCATTGGTCGGCAGCGCTTGTCAGGTGCGCGACGCACGTTATCGCGCGCTCTGTGCGTTCGCTGACAATCGCAACGATAAGAGACTCCGCCGCGATTCCTCGATGCTCTGACACAAAGGTGCAATTGACGTTAAATGATACGAATGAATTGTCATCGAAGGGAGCGGCTTGTCGACCTCTCAGCTGATCAAATGTGACTCGCATATAACTTCAGACATTTTCGCTTTTTTTTATATGTACATTGAAAAAAAATATAGTCAATTTTAATAAATATTTAGTTGAATACTGCCAACAAAATATTTATTAAATATAAAGGTATACTTATTTGATACAAGAAATGTTATTTTGATTTAACAATCATTTTTTTTATTAAACAAATATTTACTTACTGTGAGTAAATGTTTAGTTGACAGTATTGAACTAAATATTTATTAAAACTAAATATTTATTAAAAATTAATTATATTTTTTTCTCAGTGTATAAGTGTGAATAAAATAAAAATTAATTGAATTTTATTGAATACATTTATCAATATTATTATTAAATACATTGTATTTCAATAAAGACTCACACTAAATTTGTAATGTCAAATCTATTGATTTACTTTTAATTATTTCTATAGGTCGCGTTACTATTCAATATGTTATTAATGTAATTAAAACAACGGAATTGAACAATTTTACTGAAGAAATGCATTAAATTTGATTTAAATTTAATTTATTATTTATTAACGTACATATTAATATGGGCATTGTTAATTTTTAAATTAACCAGAAATTGATTGTTTATATTTTGACACGCATACACGTACATGCACTCTGTCTTTCAAATCATCTCTTATCAAAGATGTAGTGACCTCCATTCCTCATAATACCATTGATAAATGGGGCCTACAATTTTTAAGTTGATGCCAACAGCCTATTCGAAAAGATTTTTTACACATATGAGGATTAAAACTAACAAAATATTATATATTCAACTCAAGAGATTCAATTATCATTACTTCTTTAATAATGTGAAAAACTCGATATTGTCATCTTTGTTTCAATTTTGCAAAAGTCGTCTGTGCCTTTATCGATAATTACATACCGTCCGACAACACTTTCCGCCGCCAAAATCTGTTTTTTCATCCGGCGAATGAAAAATCATCCCCGTGACGAATGCAGAAATTGGAAATCCCGTTTCAGCCACCAGCAATTAACGATCTCCCGGTGGATCGGAGGGGCGTCCCTCTGGATGTTCGACCCTGCGAGGAATGCGAGGTAACTGCAAATTTCCGGTAGACTAGATTCTAAGCGGGAATGGACGTATACTCGTACTCTTCGTTCGAACTCATTCCGTCCGTCCTTCTCGCTCCAGCAATAACCTCGGGCGCCGTTCGCTTCCGATGTTCTCCGCGGCTCTTCCCTTTTTACCTCATCACCCGATCGCAATTGCGCCGCCGCCCTTGCACAGTATACATCGTCTTCTTTCGTCGGGTTTCCTTTGCGTGCGTAAACCAGTTATTATCTCCCGGATCTTGTCATTCCGCACTTCTTAACGTCGACACGTGTAAGGGCGACATCAAAATGATTCCGTTACATGAGAGAGATCTGGAGAATCTTGATTTTAATTAATTTTTAATTTGATATCAAGCCACAAATTAAATTCAGATTTCGGATCTGAACAGATTGATCTCTCGTCTTATATCGTTCTTTTTCTCTGGAATAAGTAAAATAAATTCAATTAACTTTAAAAATGAAAATAAGTGTATAATTTTACTTTATATATTTTAAATATTTTAACGAGATCTTTGTAAATAGAATGAATTGAATAGTTCCACACATCGGCAATTTAGAACGTTCGGAATCCTTCTAACAGATATTCCGATATCACTTCTCCCTTGTAGAAAAGAACTGGCTCGGTGCGATCATTGCTACCTGTTTCTGCAACAGGTGTACCGGAATTGTTAAGCTTGCAAATTAAGATTGCAAAAGAGCGACGATTCGCGGTATGCGAGAATTATGAAGCGCGTGCTTATGCACACGCGAGCATTTACGAATGCATCCTGCGGCCATGTATACATTCTAACATTAAGTATAGACAGCTATTAGGTACGCGCGGTCGAACGGACGTTGAAAATCGCAAATATATCACGATTCTATCATTACATGCTGCGCTAAACCGCTGATTTACCGCAAATAACCTCATAGTATAATCAAATGCGTACTCTTGATACGCGCGAGAAGTTGCGTCACAATCCTACATTACCTTTAAACTAAAGGATACGCAATCATTGAAATGATACAATTATACTTCTGCAATCTTCACGATCCCTGTCATTTTCGTCTATTGCTAAGAAAGACTGACTGACGGAAAATTGATTTATATATGGATGAAAAGTAGAAATATATCTCCAATTTCAATAATTCTTATTGAGGCGAACCAAAACAAAATATTGTAAGTATCATTTTATAAATTTTTTTAGAAGAAAGAAGAAACTTTTTTTCGTTAAATTATTACTTCAAAAATTTTATAAAAAATTATTGTGATAATTATAAGAATATGTAATCAGTCTCTACAAAATCTCTTACTTAATTTTAATTTTTTTAAATTGCATTAAAGTTTTTAAAATTTTAAAACCTTGTGAGTTTAATTAAAAATGAAGTTAAAGCGTTATAAATAAAAATGCAAATCAAAATAAGTTCAAGTAAAAATATTACACAATCGATTTACAACATTTTGAGTAGTACTTGAGTATCCATTTTTCTTCACTCAATACTTTTTACGTCAAATATTAATATGTGACAGAACATAGTGTTTTACAATCCATTTATAAAATAAAAAACATTTTTACAATTTTGGCATTTACAATATTTTGCACTTTAATTAATATTCAAAAAATGAATATATACACATATAGGATATATTTGTATTCTTATATCTTTAGTCTTTCTGATTTTGTAGACTACATAAAACATTACGACTTCCACAAACATTGCTCCACAATAATTATTATTAAAAATATAAAAAACGCATAAAACATAAAAATATGATTAAGAGGATTTAAAATATCGAAATGATTCTTCTTTTAAACTCGATTTGACAGGAGAAAATGTTATTGACATTCGCACATTGCAATAAATTCAAAGTCATATTCAAAACATGAATTGATAATCTATACCTTTGAAATATGAAGAAAGCAGATCGGAGTACTATCGAAGTATCTAACCACAAGATGCAATGCTGATCGGGATCAGAAACTAACCACGAGGCTGCGGTAAATCGAAGGACAATGCAAAGCGTCGACAAGAAAATCCATTGTCGCAGGAAGAAAACTACGAAGAAAATTATTCCATGTTCGAAAAATTCCAATAAAAATTAGCCAATAATAATATCAGATTGTCGTACAATAAAACAATTTTTTAATTGATTTTTTTAATGAACTCACATCAAACTGTAGTAATTTTGTTTAAAATAAATTTTTTTATTAATCGAGCTATACGTCAGCACATAAAATACTTTTCTTTCAACCATTTGTGATACCATTTGTATCTATACTATTCAGAAATTTGAGCTCTCAAAGTAATAAATTCCTTAAAGGTAGTTTTGACTGTCACATCATTTTTTAATATATATTCTTAATATACGTGTTATATATTTTATATTTGTTATATATTTGTTAAAAGTTAATACATATTTAAAATACAACTTATATATTTTATTATTGACATTATATTAATTTACTACAATATTTTACAACTATGTAGTCACAGTATCTATCTTTAATAATTTTTTATCGATATTTAAAGCAATGTATATGACATAACAATTGAGTTCCCAGAGATTCCAGTTTTACTCAGATTATAAAGAAACAAATAAAAAAAGTTGAAAATATTTATCAATATTATTATTTAATATAGTTCCTGCCCGCTTCCAAATAATATTTATTGCTCAAACAATGAATCGAATGAGAAAAAAATAAACGAGAAAATGTTTTTTTCTCAAATCATCTTCAATTTTCGATCTTCACAGTCTGTTGAATCGATAACATATCTCACTTTCCTTAAACTCAGATCTAATGCGATGAATCTCTTGATCACTTGAGTTCATCACATTAGGATTAAGTTTAAGAAAAGTGGGTCCTAGTTTCTTCTGCCAACACACCAGTAAATTCTTCAATCATTGTATCCGAATTTTTGATGAACCGAAAGATCTCCGTGTTAGCTCATCCTCTTTATTCGCCTGATTTAACGATGACTTTTTTTTTATCTTCTAGTTAAAAATGAAGGGGACGAGATTTAGAAAAGACGAGAATATGTCATCGACTTAACAATTTGTAACGAAAGAACTGAAATTCAAGGAGCGCGCTTTCTCAAATCAATTTGTTATTAGCGATGTAAACGTTGTTTGGAAGCAGGTGGGGGATTGTATTAATAATAGTATAAATAATAATATAAAATAATTTCGATTCTTTTTTGTTTTTTTTTTCTGGCTCCAGTGCGAAAATTTAATTATCACACTATATATATTGTATATTCATAAACTCTTTGCTAATTACATTTTATATTTTTTCAATTTTTGAAATTCTTATAATTTCCATTCAATTCAAAATTTCAAATTTTTTCGATTGTAATTTTTGGAAATACAGAAAATATTCGAAAAATTTTTGAAATTTTCTAGATAGTGCAGTCTCTTATTTTATTTTTTTAATCTCTTTGTCGATTTATAGGAATTTAAATAATATTAAAATTTAAAATTTTCAACCTTATAATTCTAGGAATTTCAATTCTTAATTTGTTAATTTAGTATATGGAAATAAATTGAGTTGTTATACATTTATTTATGCAAGACAAAAGTTTCGTATTATTAATGCAGATTTTATCATATTTGTAAAAATTGCAAAATATAATATATTATTAATGTGATCATATATTAACAACAATAATAACTAATAATACATTTTACGAACAAAAAAGAAATTACAACATTAATTGTGATAAAATTCAATTTGTTAATACTATAAACATTTTTTTATTAATAGAGAAAGTATTTTGATACTTATGATATGTACAAATACACGAAACATGAATAGAAATAAAATAAAATCGAACGAGAAATTTCTAAAACTCGATGATATAGAAAAATGTGTCACCTAGATTCTAGAGAGAAATTCATTAGCAATACAATCATCTTATTTTTTCTAAAATCATTTTATCTTTTTCCAAAATGTGTTTTCACATGTGTGTGTTAGATACGTACATCAGTGAAAAATAAAAATTCCTTGTGCCGAGTTGCACGCGCCTAAATACAGCGTTAAACCCTATTCTGACACGCAACAGGAAACGCGAGCGATCCAGTTCGAACAATGCGGTAAAAAAGCGTATGACATACAACAATAGGAACAGCCGCGACAGCCGGTGCGTATTGCGTTTTATACACGCATTTGGGAGTGTCGGTCGATATTGCATGCGATGTGCGAAGTAACTCTCGTGAAATCGTGCGTGAATCGTCCAACTGGATCGAAAACTTGCTTACACCGTTATTAAGTGCAACTAATTACAAATTTTCGTAATTCAACTTAATAAATATTTTCTGAAGATTATTCACTGTAGGCTTATAGTACAGAAGTATATAAAGAAAGTAAGCTTTATTTCTGCGAAAATCGAAACGTACATACGCACATTACTGTTTGTACACTACTTTGTTACAATATCGTTATGAGAGGAATCTTCATTTCATGTATACGCATATCCCTATAAATACTATTGGGGGCGATGTAAGTGATGCCCACAAACTGGTTTTAAGTAATTACTAAGAGATGCAAAATTGTCTGCGATTCATCACGAATAACCGGTTTCTCTGAGAGTAAGCAATGTTTTCGTACTTCGTGCTATGTTTGTACAAATCTGAAGGCGCAACATATTACAATGGATGAGATATGGATGTGATAGGAAATAAATATAACAATTGCAAAATTTGAACATAAAATCAGAGTCTTGATATTATAATATATATAAAATGGCTACGTTCAGCAGAGAAAACTAATCAGTTAGCGCTTAGTGTGATTCTTTAATATAATTGGTTCTTGTCTTTAGTTCTTCGCTGGATCTAAGTGTAAGAATCAATTACTAAGCGCTAACTGATTAGTTTTCTTTGCTGAACGCAGCAATTCCCATTATGTATATAATTGTTATTATTATATTATAATCAACTTTGTTCCATGCAAATCAATACATATTCATATTATTTATACAACCATATATTCTCCAATTAGATATGCAACATGATTATTTTAAATAAATATGATCGCAAAAAAATATGCATTGTAAGATATGTAAGATTAGATAAATATTATTAATGCTTATTTACATACATATATTATATCAATAAAATTGAAAAATATAATAAAATTGCATTGCAATTTTTTTCTTAACATTTATTTATATTATAGATAATGGAATAGATAAATATACATACTTCGATATTAATAAATTTATTCATATTAAAAACCTAATCAACATACTCTGATCACTTTTCTTACACAATTGGGGTTTTGATATAAATAATAATGTACACTGTTAAATTCATAATGTCAAATTGTACCCAATTTAAATTATTTTTTCTCAGTTATTTTCTATAAGTCATCATTGCTCCTTGTTAATATGTCATTAATTTAATTAAATAATTAATATACAGTTAACTAAGTTCTCTCAAGAAAATATATTAAACTTGATTCAAATTTATTATTCATTGAGTGCACACATTAATGTATGTAGTTTACATTAAAATCAACTACAAAAATGAATTATATTTTGGATACATAAATGGAAATTAAAAATAACAAAATGTTAAACTCAAAAGATTGAGTTCCCTTGCTCTTTTGATTATCTAACAGTGTACGAAGAATAGACGCAATGTAAAAAAAAATTCTCCAAAAACTGGAATAACCAGAAAATTGTGACAATAATGCTAAAAGTATCAAGAAAATATTTTTAAAAAAGCATTTTGAATTGTTATCTGTACCAGAATATATTATGTTCAAACTGTTTGTATATAAGAAAGCACATCTTCTTTCAAATATCTCTTAGGCATACTTTCTTTCTCAGTTACATTCCAGGAGAATTCCACTATAGCTGTAGGAATTAATCGTAATTCTAGGAGTGTCTTTCCATGACATTCTTTTATTAATTTAATTCCGTCTGGTGTTATCAGTAAAAAGGGCACTTTATCGTCAACTAAATTTTCAGCAACAAACTCGATTACATTCTGGAACTTTTCGTGTACCGAGAAAGTACCTTGCAATATTATTCCATCTGGAAATTTAATCCGAAGTACAGCAAATTTATATCTTCTAAGTACACGCTGCTCATCCTTCTCTCTCATAGCCTTTGTTCTTAACATTTGGTTTCTTTCTACAGCTTCCGTCCTAATAATAATCAATATTTTCATTTATTTATTATCTAGATATTCCGAAAGATTCTGCTATCTAATATATTGTACATGAACTTACCGCAGCTGTTGTTCTTTTTTTATTTCTTCTTTACTTATCGTAAAAAAGCTGGGTGGCAATTCATTTCTCACACGAGCTTGACTAGGCATTAATACTTGTAAATTCCTGTCTAACTCAATAGGAATGGGTTCAGCAGATCTTAATGCTTCATTTAACATCGTGAGATTTTCAATGTTACAATTATCAGGACTCCACACTAAAAAGTCTTCTTCGTTCTCATTATGCAATAACTTTTGCTGTTCAAAACCAGCTGCTTTCAAGAAATCTAATGCTCCTTCAATAGGCAAAACTTTTTCCTATAAAAATATAAGTTATTATATATAAGCTATTTGAAAAATTAAAATTATTTTAAATAAATCATTAAAAAGAGACAGTATTACTTGGAATATTTTGTTACACATTCTGATTTTCCAATATTTCTCAACATTCGGATTGTTAATAATATTGTCCAAATATTTGCCAAGTGTTTCTACACAACTTTCGATCTTCTCTTTTCCGAAATTGCAACTTTGAATAATTAAACATGCTGTTAGTCCTGCTTCTTCTCCCATTAATTGTTCATACAGAAATTCTCTTATTTTCTTTTTCCACTCATCCCGCGACAATATTTCATCAGATAAATATGGGCAACGGAAGAACACATCAGTAACTGCAAAAATAGAAGGATCTACAATTTTCTTCTCTTTTAATGTTATATCTTCCGTCTGTTGTAAATTCTGCTGTGCTGCTTTTCTTTCTAATTCCAATTCACGTTTAACACGAGCTTGAATGGCAGCATATGATCTATAAATAATCATAATATTAATCAGATTGATATGATAAAAATTCTAATAATCTTGCTAAAATTAAATAATAATATAGAAACATGTGTATAATAATAATTAAAAATAATCTTAAATATTACACACGTATTAAATCTTGGTTTATCATTTTTCTTTGCTTCTAATCTTGCTAAGGCAGCTTGACCTGCTATTTTAGCTTCCTCTGTAGGCTCCGTCCTCCTCATTGGTTCTTTAGGCTCTGTTGAAGAATATATAGTACTGGTAGACTCCGTTAATCTATATAAATTGAAAACAGTGCGATGTCATTAATTAATTTATTATTTCTAAATTTATATCAACAATTGAAAACTTGTTGCAACAGTAAGCTAATACACATTTTGCAAAAACAAAGTAATAAACTCTAAAAATAAATTAAAGAATAAAGGTTATAAAACATGTAGGATTTATATTAATAGAAAATACAAACGTGTTTTGATCCTCAATTTTGATCAAATAATATAATATTCATAATTTTCATTTATTACTTTAATTTTAGAGTCCATTTATTTTGTTTTTACAAAATATAGGTTAGCACACTGTTGTATCAAGCCTTTTGATTTATATTATTATTTGCAATTACTTGTATCCTTTTCCTGCTTTCATAAATTTTGCATTTGTTTTCTTTTTTTGAAAAAAAGACTTGATTTTATCAGCCATGTTTGTTATAAAGTCAATAGACTGTCCAATAGTAATTAAATATCTAATATATTACTCAGTTGATGAATTACAATCTTCAGCAGCGCCTAAAAGATAAAATTGTTTATTTATGTAAAAATTATCGCCATTAAATATTTTTAATTTTACATTATATATATTTATAATATTTTTATCATTTATATATTTCTCAAATACAATATTAGGAACGAAAGGATATAGATGTTGAATCCTTTACATAATAATGATTTTTATAATTATGCGCAAAAGGGAAAAGCGTTCACGCGATCTTACCTGTTTTCATGAACTGCTCCGTAATTCTAGAGCCATAAATGTACCAAGCAACGAAGATTAACGCCACGCTACTTAGAAATGTCAACAGGAAGACTTTGAGCAGTTGTAACTGAAAATCGTCAAATGACAGCAATGCTATCAATTCGTGGAGAAATTCGCGGAGCTTCAACGACGTCTCGTCATCAATGATGACGATGTCGCCAAAATTAAAGGTTAGACCGAATGTCGACAGGAATGAAAACAGGTTGAGCACGTATTTATTGATCGCCTCCGACAAATAGTTCGTCCATGGACACGAATCCTCACATGCGCTGCTCATCACATGAGTGAGAAATTCTTTCCCCTAATATTGAAATTATCACTTGCACTCAAATCAATCTCGAGTTTATTAAAATTCTATCGCAGCTGATCGCAGATCGCAGCAAAAAACAGTTGTAACACGATTCACAAAATATTAAATGATATGGCAAGCCACGCAAATTTCCAATCATCACATCGATCATGACACCGATAGGCCACAATCCGAAGATTGCGATATGTCTTTCTTGATGAGTTTTGGAATGCGTGAAAATTGTGAGATCGATTGAAGAGAAAAGATTTCGAAGCCATGTTAGAAATAGCTTCGACTCTCTCTCTCTCTCTCTCTCTATTCCACATTTATTCTATATATTCCCAAATATAGAATAAATATATAGAATATATATAGAATAATATATAGAAAATATATAGAATAAATAGGTCTAAAACGAGATTTGTATTTTTGTGTGCGTATATTACATATGCGTATATTACAATTAAGTTAGCGAATTTATAAAAATATTTTGATATTTCAAAAATATTACTTATAAGGACTTTTCTGTTATATTATTTTTATTGCAATGTATATATATATATATATATGTGTGTTGGAGCAAAAATTATTCATAACACTATTTCGATTTGTATATTTGTATAAATTTGTATAAAATACGTGCTAAAAAAATTGGCAATTGTATCATTCCATAGAGTAAAATTTAAACTTTAAGAATCTATTATTTGAATTGCGATGAGAAATACGATGATATTTAATGGAATTTATATAAGCAATCAAAGTTAATGCTTTTTTTATTTAATCCGCGATAACTCAATAAAAATCTTAGGAATATTAAAAGTCTTAAATTATTTCAAGGAGATTATAATTCTGCAAATTTATAATGTTTGTAATTATTTTTATCACCCAATAGCAATAAATGAAGAATATTGTAATCATTCCCAGTAAACACAATGTTACATGTACGTTACGTAACATTGTATTTACTGAATTTTTAAATATACATAATTAAAATATATATTGCCTATAAAACATAAAATGTGTACAATCTATAATATCTATATAAGACTATTATAATTATAATTAACATATATATTTATAGTTTAAAAATAAAAAACTAAATAAAATAAACTGCAATATTTTATATCATAATACGAGATCATATAACTATAATGAAAAAAAAGAGTTAAGTAGAGATTAAATTAACCTATGATTAAATTAATCTCTGATTAAATTATCAATGTTTATTTATAATTTAAGATTATCGGCATTCCAAAACTTATCGAAATGAGTAATTCTACAAATGTTTTCATGACTGACTATATTATTTAAGTTACAGTATCGGATTCAAGATGGCACTGGAAATCACGACCACAAAGTGCAGCGGATCTGCGAGCTTCTGTTCCATCTAGTCCTCGCTGAATAGTGACAGTGCTTTTGTGAGAGCGCTGTGAGTTCCGTCTGCTTCCGTCTGCCAATTGATTATCTGTAATGACTATACTGTATATATCTATACTGTGATTGAATTATCATAGGTCTCGTGCGTAATCGGAGTAGATTTGATACGTGAACACGTGAGGAGAACCAATAATCATGGTTCAGCAATACCAATCGCCTGTGCGAGTTTACAAGCATCCTTTCGCTCTTGTCATGATGGTGTGTTTAATGCTATGTGTCCTTCAAACTTGACTGTCATACAATATTTATTGCATTTCGTGCTCCTATGTCCTTCACAGAACATATGCCATATCCCAGAAAATCCAATAAACGATTTCTCGCTGCGAATACCTATATTAAATTATACGGAAGCATCAACTATCTTTTAAATGTCCCTTTCTCTTTTTTCCTCAATTTTTTTAAATTTCGATTGCATAAAAATTTTTTGTCTTTGATCTTTTTGCTTATCAAGTATTCCATGAGTTATTTCAATTATAATATGATGCACTGAGCAAGCAAAAAGACATTTAAAAAATCTTATTCTCTTTTTTACAGGCATATGAGCGTAGGTTTCCAACATGTCCACAGATACCAGTTTTTATTGGATGTGAAGTTATGTTAGATGAAGAGAGCGAGGACGGTGTTGTTAGAACCACAGAAAGGCGATGTAAATTAAATGTTGAAGCACCTTATATCTTAAAAAAGGTTTATATATATGTGTATAAAAAAATTACATATATATTTATTCTGATATTTAGTTTGGTAGATTTAAAACATCCTGTATTTCCAATATATTAGATTTTATAATTTTTTTTAGAAAATAATATAGTAGCTGTAAAAATATTTCTTAGAGAACTAAAATAATTTCTTATTGGTATAAATCCTATATTCATTAATTAGTAATTTATTTCAGATAATTGGTGTGGATTTTGTATACTTTATTCAAAGGA